TTACATTTAAAATGACTTAAAAATACGAATTAAGTAAACCATATTGAATTATAGATAAAAAAAAATTATTATACTAATATCTATAAATTTAAATTTAATTAATAACAAACCAATAAAATTTTAGTATTAAATTATAGGCATTTCGTGTTACCGTTTTCCATATTTTTCTAAAAAAAAAGAATAAGAACATTAAATTATTTTTATCTCAAAATTATTATAAGGCAAATTTATGGATTTATGCAATGGATTTAACATAATATAAATACAATGATATCTAATAACCTAATTGTTTATTGTATTTTTGTAATATAATTATATTTATTATAATATTCTTTAATGGAACGAGAAAGATTTCATTTTAAGTATTATTCTTTAAGAAAATTCTACTTTGATATTACATACATATAGATTATAAAAAATTTTTTCAACCTATTTATTAATATATAATTAATAAAAAAATGTAAAAATTTATTTTTTTTTGCGTAAATAAATAATAACGGATAAACAATTTAATAATTTTCTTTATTCTTTATTTTTATTTTAATTTACAAATAAAAAGATAATACTCAAACAATATCGTTGTATTCTTTGTAAAATGAAATAAAATTGTCCAAAAAGTAACAAATACTTATACAGTATATATACTGCATATAATAGTATATTTATGTCACATTTTTTATTTGATGTTGATTCAATTGATACGTTATTGATTTCAGGATCAATAAAATCCATACATCACACGTTTCAGTAGTTTTTGGCATGAGCGTCCAATAATATTAGAATAAATAGACCTTTAAAAGATATCAGATCGATCAAATCTACGAACAGTGTCACAAACACGTGATTAATAGTATGAAAGACTATTGGACAAATTGACTCGACACTATTTTTACCCACGCAAAGGTATGTTAATGAACTTCAGAATTGCGTAATGATAGTCATGACCTTAGGAAATTACAATCAGAAGTAAATTTGAGAAATTTTGGACTCAGTGAAAAATTTACAGAAGACAAAATTTACAAAGAAATGAGAAAATGCGTAATCAAATAGGCATACGTAATATCCAAAAAGAATAATATTGGATATGGAACCACGTGGGAACTTGAAAATATATAAAAGAATGAGTTTTGGAATATGAAATAGGCGTAGTATTTTAATAGCTTATGGGGAAATAATCGATAAATGTTAGTAAGTGAGAAAATTTGGATATTTTAATAATGATATTGTTGTTTTGATATTATTTATTTATGAAATAATGCAATGTGAGAATAAGGTTAAGTAAGGAGAATTATCGCAGTTTGCAAATTAAAGTTAGCAGGATTTTGAAGTTTTATTATTGAATTATGAAAGTTGCATTACGATAATATTGTTAAGTATGGGAAATTATCGAAGTTTGGAATTGTAAATTGTGGATATTAAGAAAGTATAAGGAGTAATGAATTTTGGACGAAAGAGTTGTTTTTGTTATTTTAATTTAATTTATTATTTTTAGAAACCAAGCATAGAACTCGGGAAAATTATAGAAATTTTGTATTAATTATTTCTATGAATAATGAAAACAATGTTCAATGACGTGGTAGCAAATGTATGTCAGTACAGGCACGTCATTACAACGTACTGTATATGTTCATATAAATATAATTAAAGACATAATTAGTTTATTATTTCTAAGATAACGTTATTATTTGCTATAAATAAAAATGTTGTCAATTGATCGCGTGATAATATTGGCCACATGATAAAGGTATGGGCTCGCTGTATTATAAAATCCATTTTTTATCTGTTTTAAAAAAATTATTATTTAATTTATGTTCCAAAATATTTTTTGGGGTCTGATGGACACTTTATGGTCGATTTCTATGATCCGCCATAGTTTTAATTGTTTTCCTATGCTATCTAGCACATATTCACTAAAAATTTTACAGATCACAGTAATTATCAATGAATATCGTGAAAATGTATTTTAGTAGGTTTTAAATGTATAAAAAGAAAAAATCACTTAAGAAAATTTCTTTTTAAAAAAATAACGCCATTTGAACTATTTAAAGCGGAGCTGTTCTTTTATTTTTTATAATAAATTTTTTTTAAAAAAAATTATTTTAAGCCTCATTAAAAATCTCTTGATTATTTGTAAGGATAATTATGAGTTTATGACTGCTGCAAGATATTAATATAATTCAAAGTCAGCCAAATTATGTAACGCAGTTGTGTAATAGGCATAACAAAGGATAATAAGTATTTTTAATTTTCTATTTATTTTATTGTTTTTGTTATTTTTCTAAGGTAATTCTAAACATTCTTTCCTTATATAAAGATAGAATTTATATATTTAATGATTTATTTTTTTATCATATTCTAACATATTGTGACCTAATTTGTGCGATTTCAGTCATGATTAAAAATAATAACAGTAGTAGAATTGAAGAAAGTAATGAACTCCTTATAAATATTATCAGCATCTTTAGATTAAAAAAACAATGAAAAGATTTTTTGAATAAATTACCTAGTCACTAATCCATAATAGTAAGTCTAAAATTATTTAATATTTCTAGTGTTAATTCAATTTATGAAATGATATTAAATTATATTTATTGTTCAAGATTCTACAAGAAAAAGCTAATTTATTGCGAAATCAGAGAGAATCTATTGCAATTAAATTAAAATATTAATAAAGCCATATGTATAATTTTTTTTCATCAATTATATTAATATCTTTAAATAAAGCATATTAGCTAATTTTATGTTGAAGATTTGATATCAAAATAAAATTATTTATTTATACAGTATATCAGATATTTACGTTTTGTTTGTTTTTATTTAAATATAAGTATAAAACATTTACAAATTTAAATGATTATATAAAAGAACCTTTATCATATCAAAAAGTTTAATGATCCTTTTACTGAAACCTTTTGATAAACAAAACAAAAATATATATATAAATATAGTTATAATTTAATAAAATAAATTTCTGTTAAAAATATGAGTGTTATGTTATTCAATAAATCCAATAATATATATATTTTAATAAATACTGTATTTAGGATTTTCATTTCAATGAATCAATAGCTATTCATGAACTGTACAGTAATCTATCAATATGGTTGTACCTATTATGCTTCTAAATTTCTTAATTCTTTTTCTTCTTGCTTTAATTCTAATTTCAATTCATCCAAATTCTTTCTTAATGAATTTATATCTTCTGCCATCATATTAGAATTTAATTGCATCATGGTTCCTTCCTGAGAATTAGTAGCAAATTTAAAAATTTTGTAATTATCAAAATTAAAATCATTCAACTTAAGAATATTTTCAATCATGAGGCTAAATTCAAACTCTTTATTTTTCTGAACAATATACTTTAAGGAATAATAATCATCTTTGTTCAGCTGTAATACTTCATCACTATATTTTGTGAGAATACTTTGAAATTCTTTAGTATATTTATCAGTCAATGTAGAGATTTTTCTGGTAGAACCAATAGTATTCCTTACTTTATTAATAGAGCTTTCTAGCTGATTAAAACAATCTTGCAGTTTTTCAATAGCTTCTTCCCATAATGTTAAAAATTTACCCTTAGCTTTTAGAAAATTATTAACTTGATTGAGAACCTGTTTTTTTCTATTAGTATCATAAGAAGCTGAAGTTGTTAATAATTCTTGTTGGAGTTCATCTATCTCTTTTTGTTTAGCTTCTCTTTCTTTATGAATTTCCTTAATATTTTTTCCACTAATCAATTCATTTTCTTTGACTTTTAACTTTTTAATACGCTCATAATCAAGGTCAATCAATCTTTGTTCTAGTTCATTTATTTTATCTTCTTTTATCTGTAAAGCTTGGGTTAATTGCATTTTGATTTGTTCTTCAATATTCAATTTTTGTTTCAATTGTGCAAATTCTTTTTTCATTTCAGCTTTTTCTTTTTCCAACTCAGCTTTTCCTTTTTCTAATTCGATTTTTTCCTTTTTCACATCAGCTTTTTCCTTTTCCATCTCAGCCTTTTCTTTTTCTGACTTAGCTTTCAATTTAACAGTAAGCTTTTGATCTTGTGATAGGTCATTCAACCTGTTGCATAACTGGATTTTTTCTTGTTTTACTTTTTTATAATTAGCTTGAGAGTAACTTAGTTTAAACTCTAGTTCTTGAAAATTAACTTCTGTTTGAGTTAATCTTTCTTTCAAACCAATTTTTTCTTGCATTAACTGGTCAATTTGATTTTGAACTTGATGGTTAACTAGTTTATTTTGATCCAACTGTTCAGTTAAATCTCCATCCAAGGCTTGTTTTTCATTTTGCAGGTAAGTAATTTGGAGTTGTAAAGTATTTTCTTTTTCTGCAGATTTCTTAGATTGTAAAGCCAAGTCAAGTCTCAAATTTTGATTATCTTGCTCAAATTGAAAATTTCTTTGTTGTAAATTAACTAACTCATTTTCTAACTTAAGATTTCTTTCTTCTATTTGCTTATAATTAATTTGAGATTGACTTAATTGATTTTTAAATTGCTGAAATTTTAATTCTTGAGTTTCTGATTGAACTAATTTATCTTGCAAATTAGTTTTTTCTTGACTGATTTGTTTTAAATTGTTAGCCAAAACTTGCTTTTCAGTTATATTAATTAAATTTTGATTTTCTTGCTCAAATAGTTGTTGTAAATTAGCTAATTCTGTTTGAATATTCTGATATGCTAATTGTTTTTCTTTTGACTCATTTTGAGAACTAGTTTCAGCAATTCTTTCTAATTTAAGAAGCTTCTGTTTAGTATCATCTTTTTGATTCATTTCAAAAGATTTCAATTCTTGAGATTCTAGAATTTCATTTAATTCTTTACTAGTAAAATCAAGTAAATGGCTTGTATAGCATGCTTGTGGATGAGATTTTACAATATGGTTATTATGCTCAATTGGTGCATTTATAAATTCCATAATATTGCTTTTTAATTCTTCATTGATTTCTTTAGCTTTCGCTCTAAAAGGAAGAAGAACCCAAGCATTAAAAATATCTAAAATTTCTTTAGAAGATGGCCTTTTTAATGGATCTTCATCCCAACATTTTTTCATCAAATCTATATAACATTGTGGAGTATTTTCAATAATTTCAGGACGTTCACCTTTACAAATACTTAAAGCAAGTTGAAAATCATGTGCTTTATCATTAAATGGTGGAATTCCAGATATAAATTCCCACATAACCATAGAAAAATTATATATATCACTAGCTTGAGTATAAGGTTGACCTCTTAAAATTTCAGGTGCCATAAATGGTATAATACCATAAATATCATTTTCTTTTAAAAAAGATTCTGTAAGATAATGTAATCCTATATAATCACTAATAAAGACTCCATATGTATTTTTTTCTTCATATTTGTGACACAAAATATTACCATCATGAAAGTTATAATGAATAAGACCTTCTTCATGAATCTTATTAAGACCTTTAATAATTTCATGTAAATAAAATATTCTTTTTTCCCAATTTTTTGTTACTTCTATTAAACATTCTCTTAAGTTACCTTCACTATTATATTTCATCATTAACATATAATTCAAAGTATTTGGATTTTTTGTAAATCCATATATCTTAATAATTTCGGCGTATTTAATAATTTTCAACTATAAAAACAATATTTAGCAAATAAGTATAAATAGATCATAATTAAATTTTAAAAAAAAATAAAATAATACTTATTCATACTTCATTTAAAAATTCTTTTAAACTTTCATCTGAATTATCAAGATAGTCAAAATGTCTAAGGATTACTTCAAAATCTTCACCTTCAATTCTATGTATAGCTTTATATATAGTACCAAATCCTCCTTTATTAAGATATTCAATATTTTTAAGATTATTATAAGGAATCCAATTTAAGTTATTTTTACGAATAAATTGATCTACAATTTTACTTCCACTTGTAGGGATGGGAGCGACTCATTCGGCTCTATTTCGGTTTTTCATCGGCTCAACTTTAATTCTCATTGCATAATGTGAGATACGTGCGTCAAATTAACGACATGGGTAAGTCATGTGATGACGATCAATCATAGAAATTTTGATTGGTCATCAAACGATAGTTGGTTCGTGATCATCATAATTTTGATGACGATCCTAACTTGAACCGATTTTTTGAAGTCGGCTTTGAAGTCGGCTCGGTTAAAATTTAAAAGTTATTAAAATGATTTCTAACTTATAAATTTTCTTTCTCTTTTTTACCCTGAAGAAATGAACATTTCCTTTGTTATTGACAGAAATTTTAGCTCATGTAAATTCAAATTCCACCAGATATAGCATCGGTTCAAAAGTCGCTCGAAATCACGTGATTTGAGCCGACCCATCCCTATCCACTTGTATTAGAACTTTAGATATAAAATAAAATTAAAACAAATTTTACAATTAAAAATTTAATATTGAATAATATTAATTATACTTACTCTAAATAAATTTATAAAATTCAATTATAAAATTCAATACAATAAAGAATTAATAATAAATTAAAGAAAAATTTATTTCTCACCCGGGTGATTTCTAGCTTAATATATTAAAATGTCGTCATGCTGATCATTTGCTGATCAAAATTTTTGATGAAAAATTTTTTTTTTTGAAATAAAACTTTATAACTTTTAAAATTACAATTTATGGGTAATTTTGCTTACTCTATAAATTTACTTAATACCTTAAGAAAGGTCATAACTACCAATTTTAACATTTTGACAATTTGTAACTTGGGATAAGGAATATCGAATCTCACCCAAGGTGAAAAATAAATTTATTCTAAATTAAATATAATTAAAAAAAATCAATATATACTTACAAGCTAAAATATTTTAAATAAAAAGTTTAGTTAGTTTAAATTATATGATAAATATTATATAAATATAATAGGATTAAATAAATAACTTACACCCTATATTATTAAATAAATAATTTTTTAAATAAATAATTTAGTTAATTTAAATTATATAATAAATATTATATAAATATAATAAACTACTTACTATCTAAAATATTTGAATAATTTTTAAATAAAGAATTAGTTAGTTTAAATTATATGTAAATATTACTGTATAAATATAATAAACTACTTACAATCTAAATATTTGAATAATTTTTAAATAAAGAATTAGTTGGTTTAAATTATATGTAAATATTACTGTATATAAATATAATAAACTACTTACTAACTAAAATATTTGAATAATTATTTAAATAAAAAATTTAGTTAATTTATATTATATGTATAAATATTATATAAATATAATAAACTACTTACCAACTAAAATATTTGAATAATTTTTTAAATAAAAAATTTAGTTAGTTTAAATTATATGTATATATTATATAGATATAATAGAGTTAAATAAATAACTTACACCCTATATTATTGAATAATTTTTTAAATAAGAATTTAGTTATTTTAAATTATATGTAAATATTATAAAATAAACTACTTACAATCTAAAATATTTGAATAATTTTTTAAATAAAGAATTTAGTTAAGTTTAAATTATCATTATATGTAAATATTATATAAATATAATAAACTACTTACTTTCTAAAATTAGTAAAATATTTGTTTAGTTAGTTTAAATTATATGTAAATATTATATAAATATAATAAACTACTTACTATCTAAAATATTTGAATTATTTTTTAAATAATAAATTTAGTTTGTTTAAATTATATGCAAATATTATNAAATTTAGTTTGTTTAAATTATATGCAAATATTATATAAATATAATAGAATTAAATAAATAATTTACACCCTATATTATTGAATGAATAATTTTTTTAAATAAAGAATTTAGTTAATTTAAATTATATGTAAATGTTATATAAATATAATAGAATTAAATAAATGACTTACACGCTATATTATTGAATGAATAATTTTTTTAAATAAAGAATTTAGTTAGTTTAAATTATATGTAAATATTATATAAATATAATAAACTACTTACATTCTATAATATTTGGATAATTTTTTAAATATAGAATTTAGTTAATTTAAATTATATGTAAATATTTATATAAATATAATAAACTACTTACGATCTAAATATTTGAATAATATTTTAAATAAAAAATTTAGTTGGTTTAAATTATATGTATATATTATATAAATGTAATAGAATTAAATAAATAACTTACTCTCTATATTATTAAATGAATAATTTTTTGAATAAAGAATTTAGTTAATTTAAATTATATGTGAATTTTACATAAATATAATAAACTACTTACGATCTAAAATATTAAATAATTTTTTAAAGAATTTAGTTAGTTAAATTATATATAAATATAGTAGCTAATAGAATTAAATAAATGACAAACTTACACCCTATAGTATTATTAATGTTAAATTATAATCAATTAGATCAATTAGATAAAATATTATAATTGTATATAAAAATTAAATATATATGGTAACTTACAATCTAATTATTTAAATAAATAATATTATTAATTTAAATTATATGTAAATATTTTAAATTAATATAAAATTAAATACTTACTTTCTATTACATCATAATTATTAAGCAATTATATTAATGAAAAAAATTAGTTATTTGAAACATTTATATAAAATACAATAAAAATAAATAGCTATTAACTTACCAACTATAATAACATTAATAAAATAAATTATTTGATTATATTTAGAAATAAATAATTCAATTATTATAAATACAGTTAATTTAAAATTTTAAAAATTATTTGTTTATAATTTACAAGCTACAATATTATCATTAAATTTTTCTGAATAAGTTTACATACTTTTGTCTTCCTCGATTTCTGAAACTAGTTTAAATTTGTTTTAAAAAGTATTTAGAATAATTTCAAATTTATGTTAGATATCTATGTTCATGCTATATGCTTTTACCTTTGCCATTACTTTGACCCATTACTGAATAATATTATTGGAATTCTTCCTGAAAATCATAGGTAAATACAATTAAGCGCCTTTATTCGAGCATATATAGTTATTTGTGTAATTTGTGTAATATTATTTATGCAAAATGCAGATGCCAAGATTTCGGTTCCAGATATAGTTAACTAGTGTAACAGAACCGTTAGATATTATTTGATAAACACTATGACAAATTAAATGGTAATTACTAAATTAAAAAACTTTCTTGTCGATCATTTAACCAAAAATCTTACAAAGAAAAAACCAAAAGTTCTATGAAAGAGTTAAAATTATACTTACACGAGTCTTTTTTTCACTCCTTTTATTGTAGGTTATATATATTTTGTTGAAAATATTGACCAAAGACAATTTGAGAAAAGCGTTGAATATTCTGAAAAAATGAAAAAAAAGGTTTACATTTCTTTTGATACAAAATTCAAACAGGAGTATCAAGCGTCAGTACAATAGTGCACTGTGCAAATTTTGTTATGAAGTAAAAGAGGATGGGCATATGAAAAAGTTGCTCAAAGTATATAATAAATAAAGATCAGGCAAGTCGCAGATATAAAGGATAGCATGATATCATAAGATTTTCCACTACGCGTCTACACCTAGTGTACCTTGCGGTTCCTGAGAGTTGTTACTTAGGAAAAGAGTTTTGTCATAACTACGAGACTTTTCTGGAAGAATAGGCGATATTATTTATAAGTTTTAGTTTTTTTTTAGTTTTTAGATTTTTTGTTGTTTTTTTTATTGATACAGACATACAGTTTAATTTAGTTTAACACTATATAGTTAGGTTTGGTGTCTTGTTTAGTTGTTTTATCTTATTTTAAATAGTTCTAGTTTAGTTGCAGTATAGATGTACTGTATATTTTCATAGGTCTACATCGCTGATGTTAGACACTTAAAGTATAGTCCTTGATTATTTGAAAAAAAATAAAAAAAAATTTTTTTTTTTGTCGTGAAACAAAACGAAGGACTATACATGTTTATGAGCATATTGGATCATGTGGTAAAGTCCATTTGTCACGACATCACGTCATCACATCACAAATTTTGTGCTACAAAAAAAAAATGCATTGCAAGTGTTACATGATCTACATGTTCATTTATTTATTTGGGGTCAAATAGGTAGTATTACATAAATCGGGATCTTAGTCATCTTACCACACTATCGAGAAGAGGAAAAGGTCAAGATAGGAAGAATAAACTATGAACGTTTTATAGCGCCAAAAATATTTTGCTGAACTCCGAAATATTAAGAGATTATGTAACACCTAAAGTCGAATAATTGAAGAATATTTTTGTAAGTTGCGGAGAAGAAATTGAGTGGACTGCAATAAAAAGGAAGCTTATGAAGATACAAGAGTTAAACAAGTGTTGGAAATGAACTTGGGATTGAGCAATTTTAAAGAAATTGATAGCTCTTTGGATTAGGGATTGGAATCAATTCCCATTATTAGAATCGATTCTAAAATCGATTAATCGCGATTAATCGTTTCGCAAATACCGATTTTTTTTATACTGTTTATAATAGGTGTGTTTAAACACATATCACGTGATTACAAAAATTACAGTGATCGACGAACAAATTTCCTTTTTTGGAAATTTGTACAACCTTGTGCGATGGCAACTTGAATTTTATTGGGAGATAAAATTTCCTTTTTAGGAAGTTTGTGTTCTGTCACGTGATTCGCGGGCGGAATTATGAATTTGGCCAAAATTAACTATTATGAACAAATAATAATTTACGGTCAAATTAACGAAACTGCGCCACAATAAGTAGATTCGATTTTTATTCGAGATTCGATTTAAAATCGATTCTTATCGATTTTCGATAGTTTCAATTTTAATCGAATCTTTTCCGATCCCTACTTTGGATCTACATAAAAAATTAATAAAGGCGGCAGAATTACACGAAATGAGTTCACAAAAAGAGTAAAATAGGAAAATAGGGGAACAGACGAAACATTAAGATAAAATAGCCACTAAGAATGCAATGGAAAAAGAATATAAAAAGAGATGGATAAGGAATAGGTTGAGTAAAGTGCGTTATTTTAATCCTAGTTGAAGTCACGTGATTTCACGTAAAAAATTATCTACCCAGAAAATTTTTTCACCCCACGTGACCCTAAATAATTTGTCACCCGTGTCACTTTTTATAAGTCTTGGACTTAGATTTTTTTAGGTGTCTAAAATCCTCTTTGTCACACGTTATTCGTCACATGGTTAATTTCTTAATTCCAGCCAAATCTCATAATGCCGGCCAAAGTCACGTGGGGTGAAAAATTTTCTAGCGATACTGGGGTAGATTAAAAAATTTTCCAACATAAATTAGTTGGGATTATTATTATCTTTTTATTTGAATGTAGTTTATTTTTTTATGTATAATTTTTGTAATTTTAATCATACATCATCTATTTAGTAAGGTTCGTTATGTAATAGGAAATGGTACTACAACGTTACTATATGAGGTAACGGTTTTGGTATGGAGGGAGACAAAGGTTTTGTCAAACTCAAGGTGTGCTTTATAGATTTTGTATTTTCTTTATCATATAAATAATAAAGTGTGTCATTTACCAAAAAAAAAAAATAAAATAAAATAAAATTTGTGAAAATATAAATAACTCCATAAGTATTAATTGTATTTTCATGAAAATTGAGATTTGAACCTGTTGAAATTTTCACTTAAAAAGGAAGTGATTCGCTTTGAATAAAGTGTTCAAACTATGTTTTAAAATATATGCAAACTATAGTCAGAGATAAACCGATTTTGACTTACCAAATCCACGTATAATTAATTTTACTACTATATACTGATTTTATTATAAATTTCGCGATATAGCTATTAAGCTATACCGATGTTAAGTTATATTGTATTATTCGCGATAAGCCGATACCGATTTTTTTTTCTATATACCAATCATCGTTATAAAAAAGTTTTCACCAAAGAGAGTAAGATAACAGATGTAAGTTAAATATCTCGCCCCTTTTATTAACTCTTTTATTATCGTTATGTCTACAAATAAGCGTGTTACTTTATCTGTAGCTCAAGTTTTATAAATATAGTATAATAAATAAAGCGTCTATTATAAAAAAAAATTTATATAAAAAATTTACATATTAAGTTCGGATATTTATTTTACCGAACTCTCGGTATAACGACCTAAATCAGGATTCTGACTGTATAATATTTGTTTATACTATTTAAAAATAATTATAATTGTGTATCTACGTGTGAAGAAAATCAAACAGATATAATAATGATATATTTTGTGTAATATAACCGATCAGGGGTGAAAGAAGCTTATGAAGCCTATTCGCCACAATAGTCTACTTCAGAATTGATTGGGGATAGTCGATCAATCAATTCTTCCCAAATAAGTAGATCAAGTTAAAAATATGTACGTTTATTTATGCTATTTTTAAAATAGTTTAAAAGTATAAATTATTTAATTATTCATATTAAAATATGGTAAATCTCAAACTCCAAATATATACAGATAATGTGGGAGTGTATAATACGTGGACGAAATTATTTTTAGAGGAGGAGTTAATTTGGTCAATTCGTCGGAATTAGAATATTAATTCAGTAGTATTATGGAAAATGATTTATAAATTTGTTAAGGGCAATAATTTAATTGTATCGATAAACAAAGTAAAATCTCACTCAAAGAACCGAGGAAATGCAAAATGAGCATATCTAGTTATGATGACAAAGATAAAATTTTTATTAATAGTGATAACGATGTAACGTGTGAATATTTGGTGTATTGGAGAGGTTCAATGATCGGGAAAAGCCCGAGAGAATTCATGAAAGAAATTAATCAATATAGGTATAAAGCGGAATGGCTCGCGCTTGAGATCAACAGATCAATGAATATAGCAGTAGTTGATATTGATTGGAAGTCAACATTAGATATAATTATGAAAGAATTTAAATAGGATACATCATTGATTAATAATGAGCGTGCGTGCAGCATATAATTTAAAAACTTTTTTTAGAAATTTTACCAGTGATGGGTTGTTAAACAAACGTAATCCAGAAATTTACCCTATAAAAAATAAATGTCCGGAAAATGTCTACGAAAATGTCCGGAAATTGTCCAGAATAAATCTGGCATGTCCAGAAATTGTCCAGAAAATGTCTATTTTTTTGCTACAAATTTGATACCTAAAATTTTGACATATCCGGACTTTGTACAGAATATATCCAGAATTTGTCCAGTATAAAATTTTGGACAAATTCCGGACAGATAAACCTGGACAAATTCCGGACATAGTAAAAATTCAGATAATTTGAATTGGACAAATTCCGGATATGAAAAAATTCTGGACAAATTCTGGACGCTACTTCCAAAAAAGGATAAATTAATTTTGTAAAAAAATGCAAAAAGCACAAGACTGACATTCATAACCTTCTTTGTCATACTAATTAAATTTGCTGAGCAGGCAAAAATACTATATATCTATAATATAAAACTTTAGGTTAAAAGCAATTATAATGATGGCCACCTGTTGATCATCTTTTTGTGCCAAATTTTATGAAAAAATATTTCAGGTCAATTTCCGGACAAATTCTGGACAAAATGAGTGTCCGGAAACGAGTGTGTTTTTGGAACAATTTCCGGACATGGTACCTGGCATTTTCTGGACATTTTCCGGACAATTATTTAGACAAATTTTCCGGACAATTTCTGGACATTTTCCGGACACTTGTGTGTTCGATGTAAAATGACTTAATGACTTATGAAAATTGGATACATATTTGGATGTGCAGAGAAATAGTACGACTATCAAATTATTAACGCGGCATATGAAAGTTAACAGAGTCCAGAAAATACGGGATTCAAGGTTGATCATAGGTTACATGCGAATTTGCTTTACATATTGAATGAGAGATCCTAATTATTTTTAATGGTAGAATATTTCGTGAAACAATTAAGGGGATTATTAATAATAGGCATTCAAGAAAAAGTCTTTAAAGATGCAGTTAAAGAATTTGTATTGGAAATTAAGGAGTTAACATACAAATTCATTTGGATACAAAGATGTGAAGAAGTGAGCATGATCAAGGCATCACGAAAAATATGAAAAGGAGGGGGAAAATAATCAATCTAGGATACCATATTGTGGAGTTAACGATCAAACTAAACATAAGATAGATGGATTGGTTATACAGTAATATAGAATGGGTAGTCGTTAGATTTATCTGATTTATGGAATTATCATAACTTTATAGTATTTAGAAGTTCGAATTATACAGCAAATTATTCAATTTTATATTAGGTTTATTTTATTTTTACTGTAAGATAGATACTTTATTGATAAGATGTTTTGGCGTCTATATTATAATCAATTATGTTGTATAATTATTATAATACTAATAAAGCTAAAAAAAAAAAGTAAATCTCAAACTCCGTTACTGCGGACAATGCTGTCTTACATTTTAAAAAATTTTCCTTTAAGTTGATAGTTTATTTGGTTAGGTTTGGATCTTATTTTTTTTTAAAAAAAAATAATCTTTACATTACGATAAAACAGGTATTCAACTTGTTTTTTTCTTTTTTTAACAGTTAAATTGCGAAATATTATAGTTTGTTAATATTTATTTCTTTTGGTTTTAACGAATGGGACTGTCGAAAAAGCAATTGCATTAATAGAACCATAGAAGATGCTACCGAATGACAACAGCATAATATATAATGTTATTCTTTAAAGGGTTCTTAGTGTTTTGATGCTCCAATAAAGATAGAGAGAATGACTAAAATACAATTTACATTAATAATTACAAAAGAATGATAAATCGCTGTAATGTGTAAATAGATATGTATCCCGAGCACGATTTCTAGAGTTTCTAGCCATACTACAACACTCTCCTCAAGACCGTTATCCAACGACGTTGTTCCGATCTCGCTTGATACTGCTACAGTAATATTTTTAGCAATAAAGTTTTTTTCAGTTATAACTTTTGATTTATTAGTAGTTTTAAAAATAATTTAACATTCGATTTCATTTCCACAATCAGCTTTGGTATCTCGTCATTCGCAACCAGCCGATGAATAAGAATATACCAAAGAAAGTAGACTAGAGCAGTGAAAGCAACGGAGGAGGCTAGATGTTGAAATTCGAGCCTCGTAATAGAGCATTGTTGGCGATCAAAGAAGATCGGATAAGGAATAAACAACGAAAATATAATTGGCACATGAGCGGGAATAAAGAAAGTAATATTGGTATAAGCATTCCAGTTGCTTCTCAACCTGAAACTTCCTCAAAACCTTCACAGAATACTGCTCTTATTCAGATACATTTGTCAACTGGTCAAGCTATTCGTGAAAAATTTTCCTCATCTACGAAATTTCTAATTTATTTGGATGAGTATCTAATGAAGAATGAGCCAAGTATAAAATTTCAATTGATGTTACCATTACCTAGAAAGGTATTTAAGATGATCAGATGGCGCAGATGTTGGTTTGGCACAAAATACTTCTTTGAATGGATATTTCGTCACAACAACCGTAACTGTCAGCAATGAAATCAAGGACTACAAATATTTCAAAAATTTCAAATAGGAGATTAGAAATTGAATCTGATGATGATGATACTGATGATGACGACGATGACAGTGAGGCGATGATGGTAGTAGTCAAAGACATGTGATGGGGATTTCGCAAGCTCCGTCACAGATTTGTGATCCAAAACAATATTCCGCCTAATGTTCCTTTTGCCGCAAGTACCACTACAAATTCCTGTGATCCCGAATAATGTTTCGCGAAATTTTCCTCCAAATTTTGGACAACCTCCACGAACAGTACATCACGGATATTGGTGTGGCTAATTTACGAAGTTAGTTCATCGGAATTTCCGATTTAAATTATTAAAAAAAAGAACTAAAATTTTATAATTTATGATTTACAAGAACTTACACACTTAAGCAAAACAAGGATTAAAAATGAATCTTTACGAATAATTGGTAATTCTGCATTTTCCATAGGAGTTTAAAATATCTTACCGTTGGATACACGTGTTACAGATAAAGATGTAAAAGAACTTTAAGGTAAATTTTATTAACCTTTTATTATCAGTATTTGACCTGATATATTCGATCTAAATTTTTTTTTTTTAGTACAGGACTTTCAAAATTAACATTTTTGAATTTGGATTATACGAAAGTTTCTTTATCTTGTAAACAAATTCTGAGCTGGTAAAAAGATATTTTGTTTAATTAAAAGAGATTATAAATATCAAAATTAATAATTTATCATTTTTGTTTTTTTTAGAAATGTCTCAATTACTTACAGGGATTATCAAAGGATTCTGTAATGATGACGATGATGAATAGTCAAAGAATCAAATATGCATATAATATAATAATAATAGAATATTTATGATGGCCTATTTAACTATATCTAACTATATCCGTATATTATTAAATAAGAATTAATATTAAGCTCTTTAAATATAATCGAAACTTTTGCAACAATAATTTCAGTTTATCATAAATATTGCGTACAGTACTTCAATGTTAAACTGCAAACATAAATATTTGCGCTCTCCTCAATCTGTGGCAATCTTAGTATTTATGAACCGTTGTTCATTCGATAATACATCATAAAACTCGAGTATTGGCTAAAGTTTTCATTGATGCACCCTGGAAGCCTAGAGAGTCCCTTTCTTGGTTTATAAGGGTCCAGTATATTACGACCATTACGTTATACTCATATGGCAAAAAATAGAGATCATTTTTTTTCGTTAATCTTTTTATTTTTTCAAATTCTGCTTAAAAATATCCGTTAGAAAGCCAAAGTTTCTGGGTTTCAAATAAACTTTAAAGAGGCATAATATAAATAAAGTTTACAACGAAAAATTACCATATGAAGTTAACAATAGTTGCGAATTCTCTAAATAGTTTTAAAGTAATTTATATCAAAAAATTATCGAGCATTATTTATTCAAATCCAATACCATTTTATTTTTTTTCATTATCTTAAATGTATTTTTTCCTTTAAACCTAAATACAAAATATTTCATATTTTGTGAAGTGATAATTAGATTATTATAATTTTATAATGAAACTAGGCGTACCCAGTCGCGTTGCGCCGGGAATAGGGCTTGCCCATCAAGCTAAGAAAGTAATAATAACATATTTATATTTTTATTTGGTATGTGTCTATGTGAATAGGTTTGGTTTTACTACTATTATTATAGTGGTATTAGTAAAAATAAATGTAATAATTAATTTATATAATTTATGTGTTTATGCAAATAATAGTGAATTGTGTGTGAATGTTATATATGAAATATTCTTATTAAATGCAAATTTTATGCTTAAAGTTTGTCCTTGTGATTTATTAATTGTCATTGCGACATGTATAGGAAATTGATGCTAATTCAAAATAAAGGGTAGTTTACTTTCTGACGCTGTTAATGTGATACATGGAATAAATACACATTTACCAGTGATCCTGCTATGATTTCAGCATCAATGACTTGACTTTGAAACAACAGATCAATCTAGTTCCATTGCAGATGCCTTCAGATGGGTTTAAATTTTGTGGAAGTATAATTGATATTCCTAACTTTAACTTCAATTCATCATGAGGAAGTTTAGGAATTTTTAAAATCTTAAAGGTGAATAAAGTTGTACCACTTTTGAATTAAATAGTAAGACATTTAAGTTAATCAAATTAATTGTTGGAAATGGAATACCAAATCTTTCTTCTAGACTATGACGAGTGTTATTCTTTGTTTGTTTCCCTTCAACCCAATTAATATTAAGATCGTAATCTTCTGAATTGTATGATCTTATAATTTAATTCATTAATAACTCTACGAGTAGCCGTAAAAAATTGGGTTATACAGGAAATTTATTTTGAATTTTAAAAATTAAGTAGACCTTTATCAAAGTATTTCCATTTATGTAAAATTAATAAAATAACTCTTTCAAGCAATTTCTTAACATCCTCAACCACTTTTTTATCTTTTAAGTTGAAAGTAATTATTTATTACCATTTGCTCCTGTTTTACAACTAACTTTTTCTACAACCATTTTGATCAGAATTAAATGATGGTAAGTTTGTTTTAAGATTAAATTTAGCCGTATGATATCCATCTGAAGAATCAACCATCTTGTTGACTATAAACAGCACGATGTGAATTTGTTATTTTAAATCTTTGTTACCTAAAATCTTTTGATGCGGTAATAATTCAAAGGAGTAAAAGCAAATTTTAAATGAACCTGATCATTCTTTTTTAATTTATGTTACAATATTATATAGCGTCAAAAGGAATGCTTAAGTGTAATATTTTTTTGTCGGGTGAAGAAATTTTTTTTTCGATAACGACAGGATTTAAAATTTTTTTTGATTAAAATAATTAATATTTAATTATTTTTAAGATTACATGAATGTACTTTTTCATCGGAACATTAGAAACTTCATTATATTTTTTTTTTTAATTTTTTTGTATCAAATTTTTTTTATTGGTAACACGTATTTCTTTCTTCAAATACTGTGAAAAGTAACAAACATTATAAATAAATTTTCATTTCATACATTGAAGAATGCAACTCAGATATTGTTCCAATGTTACAACTTACAATTTGACAATCAAACATCATTATCATCATTAGTTCTCGCAGATAATTGGATTTGGCTTTTTAATTATGATTCTATCTGTTCAGAAAATTTTTATAACAATCTAGGACATGATTCAATGACCATTGCTTGCTTCACAATATTTACAATTTGCACAGCTAATTATTTGATTTTTCCATTTTGCATAGTTTGTTGTCTGGAGCAAAGAATAGGACATTAGACTTTTAGGAATTCATGTGAAAAATGGATTAGTCACGTGAGGATTTTGTCACGTTATCAATACTGTAACGATCGATCGATCACGTGACCAGAATTCAATTTAATCACGGGATTGTCGATCTATGTTTCAAATGTTACGAAGGTTACGAATGTTACGAATGTTTGATATGTTTAACATATTTAACATATGCAACATATTAAATATGTTCAACATATCAAATATATGCAACATATCAAATATGTTTAATTTATTAAATATGTTTAATATATGCAATATGTTAGATATATTTAACATTAATTAATTAGAGTAAAATAATTATAAATAGTGGAGCATTTGTAGCAGAACGAAATGTAGTTGAATGAAGTTCAAGTAGAAGAGGTTTCTTAATAAAATGGTTCTAATGATTATATTAAATAAACTGTTGTTTGAATTTAACAAAATATAAATTTGTTATCCTTTATTCGTGTTGGGAGTATATGCCGACGTACAGTGCTATACTACACGTCTGATTGGATTGTTTATTATGATAAGTGTTTATACATATAGTTTATTTATTGATTATACCCGCCTACCTATATACCTTCTGCTTACCCTTTTCCATTTGTTTACGTTTGTAAACGCTAAAGAACTGGCTATAACAATACGCTAGTAAAATCGCGAGATGTATAGTGAGAATAACAAAGTTATACAAAGGAAAAATGATGAAATTTTATACTGCCTGCGACGACAGATTTTATTATATTTAATTTATTACATTTATTGATTAATAAATTTCTCCGTTTCCTAATGTATATAAAATTGATGTATCAATTGATAACTGAAATAAATCATTATTAGCTATTTTTATGAGAAAGAAATTGTTAATAAATATATTTTTTTTTGATTGATATTTATTAAGATCTTTTTTTTTTAAATTTTAAAAACTTAATAATAATTTAGTAGGAAATCAGATATCGGAATGACTTCTAGGATGGACAAAATTTTCAACCTAACTTATATAATGGACAATAAATTGTCTAATATACGAATATATAACGAGTTATCTATAAATTTATTGTGTGAGTTAATACTTGTTAACAATAATTATAGGTAAATACAAATATTAAAAAGTGTATAATGAGGCAGTTAATAAAGAAGCCTCCTGATACAAATTTAATAAGTTCAATTACCATTCATTATTTTTATATATAATATTAAGCAAGTATGTAATGTATTATTGTCCGTTGTATCCTTTGCATATTGAATATACCAAAATAAACAATTTTTTTAATATTTTTGGTTATACCTAAGTGACTTGGAGTATTCATTTCCATGATAATAACATTTTACCTCATTATTATTAAAGAAGTAAATAAAACAGGTACAGGGCTAGATTTTAATTTTAACGTAGGTCTATGCTCATAATTTTGTATATCAAGAAAATAGAAATTTAAAAATATAAAGCGATATTTATGTTTTATGAGGATACAATAACAAAGTATAATTCTACAGAACTTTTCTTTAAAGAATCAAGGATATTCAAGGATATTCTATATAGAAATTCTATGTTGCAGAAATCTATTCGTTGACGATTAGAAATTGTAATTTATTTTAAAAAGTACAACTCAAAAATTAATTGATTATTAAATAATAAAAAATTAACTTTTCTTAATAAGCTCAAAACGTATTGTTTATTAAGCTGATTAAAAAGAGGTATTAAGGCTTATGCAATTATATTATGTTATCATAGATTACATGAATGTTCAAAGATAAAAAATAAATAAAATATTATAAAATGTAAATTGTATAGAAACACTTGTACAGATCACGATATGTAGTTGCTGGTATCAAATGATTCATCATTTTTATGGTAAAACCTTTGTGATTGGCCCGTTATGCTAAATTATACTTATCCAAACAGGAAGAAGATAGGTATAAATTTAGTTAACAAGTAGTATTAGGAATAAACCTTGATATATGTATCACTGCACCTCACATGTTTTGTTGTCATGCTAAAAATTGGTGGTACACTATTCTGTCGGAGTTTTTTAATCATAAATCACGGTTTTCAACAAAATTTAAATTCATGTTGATTACAAATATATATTATGTAATTTGATTATTTTTTGGTTAAATTGAAGACCTGATAATAAATAAGTTAATATTAATTACACATAAAATTTTTAATGGGTTCTTTTATGATTAGTTACAGGATATTTTTATTAGTGGATTTTATAATAATGTTTAACTTCTTTTAAAATACTTTCTATAATAATAATTAATTAAATCATTTTTTTTTTTAATTAAAACTCAGATTAGCCAGTTAAGTTGACGGTTACTAGATAATACATCAAGATGTTAAAAAATACATTTTTTTTATTAATTATAACTAGGCGTAACCCGTCGCTTTGCGCCGGGGATGATACTTGCCCATCGAGTAAGAGAGTAATAATAACACACTTATATATTGTTACCATATCTCAAAAAAATTCATTATAGCAATCTATTGTTATAGAAAAAAAAATATCTATATGAAAAAAAAAAA